TATAGTTATATACTATATATATATATATATATATATATATATATATATATATATATATACATATATATATATATATGTGTATATGATGTATGTGCGCGCGCGCGTGTGTGTATGTGTGTGTGTGTGTGTGTGAGATTATATTTTTTGAAAGTATAAATATTTTTATATTACAATTACAATAATATATTATTTATGATTATACTTTTGGAACATGTAGTCCTACATGCAAATCAATTACAGGTCCTTTAGTAGTAGTTCTCGACACAATTGATGCAGTTATCTTCCGAGTATGTCCTTTTATTGCTGCTGGTATAGTAGTTGGATCCATATATTGGACAGCTGTGACTTATGGTGCAGTTACTGTAATGCAGGTGGTTGGTCATAAGGATGGTCTCACCATGATGGAACAAGCGGATCCTTTAGTCTTATTGGTTGGCTTGCCAACTATTCCAATTATGTTAGTTTTGGGGAAAATGCTTCGTTGGGAAGACCAGGCTCTTAGTTTTCTGAGGCGGCATGCATCTAAGGTTCCTATTTTAAGACATTTCCTACCGAGTAGGTTTGTATTACATTATTATTTGTATTAAATAAATAAATTTTATCTATTTAAATATATATAATTTAAATTTAAATATATTGTATCATATGTGTGCATAATATACATGCATGTACACGCATGCGTACACATACATATACAGCGCATATGTATGTATATGTGTGGTACAGGATGTCCCATTTTAAATAATACATTTTAATATTTCTTGAACAGTACATTTTAAAGAAAAATGTTTCATATAAAAGTTGTAAGGTTTTAAGGGGGCCATATATAATCATGGTATTGATTTATTTGCAGACCACTGTTGAGATTTTTTATAGTGGCTATTGATTTTTAAATGGATATATATTTTTTGTTACGTAGTAATATTTCTCTAGTTCATCTGGATAAAAAAATATTAAGACAAATGTCAAAAAGTCAATAGTTTACGAAATATTTCATATTTTATTTTGGCATACTTCAACATATAAAATATCTCAAATTATTCACTTTTTGATAATTGTATTCTTAATATTTATGTGTAAAATAATGAGACAAATCAATTAATATAAGGAAGATACATAGTTGCTTTAAAAAAAAATTATGCAATTAATAATGTACAAGTACATTTTTTTAAGATAATTACTTATGATTTCTGTATACTTTTTAATTTGCCTTATTGTTCTATGCAAAAATATTAAGATACCGTTATTAAAAAATTAATAATTTGATTTTTTTCAAATCAATACTGAGATATTTTATGTTATATTTTATGTTATATGTTGAAATGTGCCAGAATAAAACATAAAATATTTCGTAAACTATTGATTTTTTAACATTTGTATCTTAATACTCTTTTATCCAGAATCATACTGCGTAACAAAAAATATATATTTTCATTTAAAAAAATGGTAACCGTAAAAAAAATCGACAATGACGTCATCTACGAATAAATCGATATCATAATTATATAGCTCCCTTGAAACAACTTATATGAAACATCTTTCTTTAGAATATATTGTTCAAAAGATATTAAAGTTTATTATTTAAAATGAGATATTCTATATATGTAATACATTTATATTAATAAAATTTTCATATTTTATGTTAAACATCTTTATCGTGTTTTTTCAAATATAATGTGAATGGTATTATATTTGCACAAAATAAAATGTAAAAAATTTCCA